GTTAATGTCCACTGGGTTTATCAGCTGCTGGAAACAGGTTTGATGAAAGCAGCGTATAGGCCCATAGTGACACCACGAACAACAACACTGAGTGAGTTTGCAAACTGACCATTAGTAAGCTCGTTAGCTCAGAGAACGTCATGTTTTATCTCTCTTCAATCACTTTCTTCCTCACCCGTGTTGCATTACCTACCCATCTGTATTTTCATCTTCACTATCATCTCGTCGTTTCTGTGTCTCCACTGACATCACAGCAGACAGGCTTGAAAGGTAATGACGCCGAATTATTCTGCTTCATTAGAATTTTATACCTTTGATCAAAGTGATCATCAGTAATAGATGAGAGTCTGCAGACATATAACCAGCCACAGTCACTCATATAGTCTGCAGTGGTTCATTAGGCAGGAGGAGAGGGAGCTGCAGTCTGGAGAGCGATGGAAGCCAGTTCTGCAGGAGATATAAAAGGCTTAATTTCGGAGATGCTGTATCTGTCTACTAAAAAGAAAGAAAGACTGCTCGGTACTTTTGGCGTACTTAGCAAAACAGATTAATCACGGAGCTCTGAGGTTACCGCCGCAGCTGACAGAGACTCAAAGTGAACTATTTATTTTTGCTACATGGGACACAATTTCGTGGCACGCTGCACACACAGAAAGGCTTTTGTGCGAGATGGGGATGCTGGATGTATAACGTGTCACTGACTATACACAAACGATGAGAAAGGACATTATGATTATAGATTATGCGATTAGATAAGAGTTCCCGCGGTGAAAGGAGACCGAGATATAAAAACTGAGCCGTGCAGAACTTCTCAGTGTCCGTGGCCATGCGTAGCATATCGAAGGATATATTTAGGTGTAAAAGGATTCAAGCTGGTGTCAAACAGGTTGAGTTACCAGGAAGGAAATGGGTTTTACAAAGCATACTTTACAACATAAAGTTGCGTTCTGTACGTCTATAAAGTTACCCTCCCGTTCATTGACAATGCAGCACCTCCACATTCCACATTCCTATATATTTTCTGGGTTCTGGTTTTAAAAGAGAAAGGCTTCTGTTGACTTGTGGTCTTAAATATTAAGACTTCATGCCAAATACTGCTTAAAACTCTCATGAAATTCTTAGAAACAATCTGCTACATTCCTCCAGTGTCAACCAAACACTTCAGCATACGTTCAGGCTCTATAAAGGGTTACACTGCGCTGATGCTTGAGCCCACAAACCTTAGTAGCAAGCAGACGACGACACATTGTCATTTTCTAATACAATGACATCATCCATACACTACATTCACAAGCCAACGGTGCTTGTTTCCTGGCAACTCTTCTCTCGAGGATGAATGAGAAGAAGATGCAGGAATGCCCACAGGATCAGCTTTCCATTGAAAAATACGGAGCGCTGGCGAGAGAAAAGTGTGAGTCAGAAAACACTGAGCATCTCTCGTGTTCTTCTTCTGTGGTGGGAAATATGTCCAAAAAAAACAAAACCATAGACACCCACAGACAAACACGTACCAGTGATGCTGTGTTTCTGTTTGCATTGGTTGGTGGAAAGTAACCAAAGTACAGTAATGGTACTGGAGCAAATGTATTACGTACTTATTATCAAGTAGTACTTCTATTTATTTGAGTATTTTCGGAGGTACTTTTTACTTTTTACTCGTATTTGCAGGTACAGGTAACTTTGCACATAATAAGTATATAAAATATCATGCATCGTAACACAGCACATTGAACTACATGACTCTATAAAACGGCTCCAACTTCACTACCCACTGCACAACATTAAAACATATTGAATCGTATTGCACAACCCTGTAGAGAGGAGCATGTATATATATATATATATGGCTGTGGATTCCAGAGCGAAAAACTACAGTTTAAAAGGGGTCATTCGACATGGCCCCCCCACATAGGCTGTGCCGTGTGTTAACAGCATTACATAGCACAGCAGACACGTCTCCTTTCGGCTGCAGAGATGCTTCAGATCAGCTGATTATGACACTGAAACACGCAGAGAGACAGAGAAGGAGGCATGCAACTTTGGCGAGAGAGGGATACTGCTGGGAAGCCTGATTTAACCTCGTTATAATAGCGCGCGCGCGTGCGCGTGTGTGTGTGTGTATGTACGTACGTATGTGTATATGTGTGTATATGTGTGTGTGTGTCTTGGGACAGTGCAGATGTGTACTCACGCCCTGGTCTTGGGGAAGCCCATGGACAGCAGCACGTCCAGAGCGGACCCATGTTTGACGGTGCTTGGCCGGCTCTGCCGCTGCCTCCGCGGCGTCACTTTGGCATACAGTTCCTCTTTAGCTGCCATAACTCACAGCTCCATAGGTATGGCAGGTCCTCGGCTCCTCTGGTGTATTTTCATTTATTTAAAAAATAAAAAAGAAGGATGGAAGCGGTGGACTATTTAAACGAGGGTGATTTGAGTGAGGCGGAAGTATGTACAAAACACCAAACCTTCCGAGGAAAGGAGCATTTATCTGGGTTTGACTAACGCTCTGAGCTAGATCGAGCTGCCTCCTGACGGCTCGCACATAAAGTCAAAACCATCAGCAGGCGGGTCAGCCATGGGAAGTCACTTCTGCCCTCTCAGCCGTGCCCCCGATTCACAGTCCCCGACCGAGGTGAACATGTCTGGTTCTTTGCTCGCCCCCTCGCACACAATCAACTGAATAAAATAAAAAAAAAACAGATGCTGTATGAGCTTCTTTTTCCACACGATGTCTTATTTATGAATGGGTCCTGAGTGGGCGGATGTTCAGCCTGTAAAATGTTGCGGCTGCGCGGCCCCTTTTAGTTAAAGAGGCAGTACGCAGATTTATGCGAGGACCGGAAGTCTGTGTGTGTGTGTGTGTGTGTTTTAAGGCGGAATATGAGTTAAACTGAGAGTAACACACTCTTCTCGGTTGGACGCGCTGTTGTTGCACAAGCGCGGAGAAATCACATTTGGTCGAGGCAGTAAGATGAAAAGCATCGAGGTAGGGCTGGATGGTGGAAAAAGTTGGTCACACTTCCTGTCTGGGGAAAGTGGGTGTTGGTACGCTACGCATGCGCAGTGCACAGGAACGAGAGTAGCAACGACATCCTCAGTTGCCGCAGCAATTTATGGGCGTCAAACTTTGTAAACATGTCACTATATTACATTTTTACATTAAAAAAAATATTTGTTTTGATTTTGTATCTACTTAGATTGCCTATTCAGTTGAATATGCATTTTATTTTGAAAATGCGTTTGTGGTGAGATCACGACTGGCAGAACCTGGCCTTATTGCCCATAACTTACTGTAGTAAACTGTCCAATCTTTGCGTTTACAGTTTCATATGAGCTGGGTACAAGAAAAACAGTCCCTTAACTGATAACATTGTTGTGGGTCGTATAAGTGTCTAATTGCATTATTGAAATTAATGGGAATATTGCACTCTCGTGTTAATTGAACACAGTCAATATTACTGGGTTAACTGGGTCCTCCGGCAATTTGCAAGACAGTTGTAAACTTCACGTTTGTCAATTTATACATACATGTGTTCTCAATGTCATAATAGTAGTCTATATACTGTATGTACATAACAGGGTGTTGACAATATGCAGCATGTGGAGTCTAGATGATGTATTTGTACTTTATTTACAGCCAATTCAAATGTGCAGTGAAGCTGTAGGAGTCCAGCTGCAGTTGTCAGTAATATACTTTTGGTCTGTCGGCATTTGTATTTTTGTGTTAGTTTTGCGGAGCCTTTGTCATGATATTTTTAATCAAGTACAATAAGCAGTCAGTCTTCAACTCACTCTCTCTTATTTGTAGCCAGGGATCTCATCAGTAAAAGGATCATTTTCTTGACACATAAAAATGAAAAAACTGAAGTGGCAAAAATAAACATTTGACACTGTAGCTTAACTGTGTCTATGCACAGCTGAATATTACCGGTCACGACAGCAGACTCAGTTTAACATTTAATTAACCAATACATAAGGCAAAGTTACAATCACCAGCCGATCCATCAGCTCTATTTTCTACAAAGGAAAGGTCAAGCAATGTAGAAAACTTGAAAAATGGTTTCCCCATTGTAAATATTGTACCTGAATGATTATATTAGCGCATGATTGATGTCTGACCTTATCAAACCACTTCAATATACGGCCTGAGAATTTGTGGATGTCAAAGGCAACATATGAATAACTTTAGTGTCTGGAGGTAGAGGGAACTAATATTTGGACCATCATGTCACAGCAGTGTGGGGAATTAATCATAACGATAAGGCTGCACACGATGCTTTAAGAAGAGGCTGGTAATCATTTAAATACTTGTTAAACACCTCGCTTTTGACGTTTACTAAACTGTCAGTCTTCACTGAGTTAAACACCAATTCGCTTGGCCAGTGTGGTTCAGAGGTTTCAAAAAAATGATGTCCAGACAACATACCAGACACATACCACTAGATCAACTAGAAATGATGTGTAGAAGAGAATGTGCACCTAAAATGTTGATCACACAAGCAGGAGTAGAGATTCCTGTTAATGTCGGGACGCTCAGAGAAAACAGTTTTTGAAATTGTTCTAAATAATAAATGTGAAAACAGTTTTGTATTTACAAAAGAAAACTTTAATAGGAATAAAAAATATTGTACATTACAACAATTTTGTAGTTTGTTAAAAAAGAAAAACACTCAACCAATGATCCATTTTTGATATAAAAAGCTCCTTCAATGGTTCAGCTTACATACACAGACTGACTGATAAGAGATGTGTCTGTGAAAAGCTTTTATCAAGCTGTACTCATGAGTACAATTTCCTTCTAACATAAGTTAATTTACCTGGATTTCCTTTATTACTAGTACTGTGAGTATCAGCACTCCATTTGATTTGATATATGTATATGCAGATGCATCAACTTGGTCAAAATAAAAAATAAAATAAAGTTCCGTAGCACACAAAAACACACGCTGCAAAGAAAACGATGGAAACATGTCGGAGGCTAAAGGGGGTCTCTAGTAGCCGCATCTCATGCCATTAAAATAATATCGACATATGGAAGAGGGCTCATAACCGTCAATGCATCTGAGACACTAAAGTAGACGGTTCAGGTCAACAATCACACTGGTCTATACAAACTGCAACTTAGGAGCAAATCAAAAGAAAGACTTGAGGAAAATCCCATGCCGAGAGACGTTTAAAAGCGAGGTGATCTCCCGTCGTTGATGAAGACTATACCACGAACGACGACTTCTGTTTGAATTCCCCCTGAAAGCAAAAATATCAAACATCAGAACTCTCAGTCGGAACTAAAAAAAACACCAAACTAAGTACTATAGCCTGTCCTTAACTAACATCAAGCACGCCTGAATATGATATAAATATCTTGGAACAACAACAACACTCATACTCACGTCTTCATCGTCACCACCACTGTACAGTGAGGATGCGGGCTGGTAGACCACGCTGGGCTTTGGTTTGCTGCAGGGAGAATAAAAACAACATGTTGAGCGAGTCACAGAGAGAGCAGACCAGTCAGACCTGCATTTCACAGAGGGAATAGTGTGAAGTCAGTCTATAGATCATCTGCTAAAGTCTAGAAAGTATTAAAAAAGAAAGAAAATCCTCTCACCTTTCAGTCTTCTCTGTAAAGGTAAGAAAGGAAAACAACGTCAGAGGGATAACATGCAAAAGAGATTTGACTCATGTTTTGGTTGTTTCAGCTTGTGGCCAGTAGTATAAAGATGTTGCCTCGTAGCGAGTTTACCACCAAAATGTTGCTTTTTCAATAAACTGTTTGCCGACCATGTGGGGGACTTGACAACCTTCTCGGTCTCCGGTAATGTCAACTATGAATATCGGAATATTGATGATCACATGTAAATGATTTTAATATAATGTAGAAAACTCACTGGGCAGATATCCTTTCTTGTGGGCATACCAAACGCCAAATACCAGCAGGGCCACTAGCAGCAGAGCCACGATTACCCCAGCAACAATTCCTCCAACGTTGACGTCACCTTAAAGGAAACGTCACAATTCCAGGTTCATCAGCTGAATTACAGTCAAACACCAGGGTGTGGCAAAAACTGAAGAATCAAACTCTAAAACTGATCAAAGGAAAAATGAAAACAAAAGTAGTGTCCTAATGAAGAGCATTACAGTTTCTATTGGCTCCTTCGATGCTGCCAAACCCGTTTACTGGTCTTCAGGTGTCGGCACGCTGCTGGAACTGGTTTAGAGACGACTGCCTCTTGCATTTGAAGCTCAGGCTGAAGCATGTTTTGAAAGAGAAGAGTACTTACGGACTTCCATCTTCAAGGCTTTAGAGCGCTGAGGAGGACCAGCATCATTGAACGCCTCACAGACGTACTGACCCGAGTCCATTTTGGTTGTAGAGGTAAACTCCTGAAGAGACAGAAT